ATTATTCCTGGCAAACGGATATGTTTTTTTTGCACATTAGTTACTGGTTCAGACTTACATGCACTTGTACAAGAATCTTGATAAAATATTTTCTCACCCTTCATGTCAAAAGCCAGTGTCCTGTAATATTTGTGGTCAATTTCCTTCTTTGTTGATAATTTGTAATCCAATAACAACAGACAGTTTACTATATAACATATGCTACTAAATGACATTTGATATTTTCTCCTTTCACGTCTTACGGTGAAATACTTTTGATAAAAAAATCTAATTAAATATATATGAGCCGTGTCATGACAAAACCAACATAATGGGTTTGCGACCAGCATGGATCCAGACCAGCCTGCGCTTCCGCGCAGTCTGATCAGGATCCATGCTGTTCGCTATCAGTTTCTCTACTTGTAATAGGGTTGGTAAGCGAACAGCATGGATCCTGATCAGACTACGCGAATGCGCAGGCTGGTCTGGATACATGCTGGTCGCAAACCCATTATGTTGGTTTTGTCGTGACACATTTCATTATTATGGTCTGTTCATTTTCTTTTGTTGTAAAAGGTTCAACATTGACTAATTCTTCTTTAGGTTCCAGCATCATTATTACTTAATTCGTCATTTTATATGAATATATACAATGTTTATTAGACAACACTAATAGCTGGCGGTACAAAAATAAGACATTTTACATTATGGCATGACTGTTATTTTGTAGACATTACACGGTTAGATAGAGTGCAAAGTGTTGATGTTATTTTGGCAGACTAGAAGTTCGTTCATATCAATGAAAACTCGAATACTGATGGGGAAATCTCTTTAGAGAATTATGAAGTAATTATGTCACAGGTAGAGAAGAAAATGTATTAGTGTGTTTATGAGAAGGCAGCTATTTCTTCGTACTTCAAGCAAAAGCTTGAATACAGATTTATGTTGTTGTTTCTTTTTCTCTCCTTTTCTGTTATTGTTGTAAAAGGCACATTATGCCTCAGAAAAGAATACATTTTTACCTTTTAAGAAAGTGCAAGCATGAGTGTTATAACATTTAAAAATGGTTTTAGAGCATGTTTAGTAGAATGTAGAGTTAAATGTAAAATTACTTGACATGAAAGTATCAAAATGTAAACAACGTTGTATTTTGTATTCAACTGTACTAATTGCAAAAAATAGCGAGAGGTGAAAAAGATGGTTAAGGATTTTGGCAAATAATAAAATGAGTATCATTTTGGAAACTATAAAAGTACACCAAAAATTAAAAAGCTTTTAAGAAATAGAGAAATCATTTCCGGGTCAAAATGGACCTTTAACGCTGTGAAGTTATGATATTACCGAGTTACTGTTAGTTAGTATGCTATTGTATTATTTCAATTTTACAAATTTGATATTTGTATTACGTAATTTACAATAGTCTATAATCATGGAATCGTGCACAACTGTAGACCCATACAAAGGTCCATATAATTTACTATAATTATTTCCAACAGTTCATCAATTCTCAATCTATATTCGTGAATTGTGCACAGATGTTGATCCATACTTTTTAAGGCACATATATACGAATATATAAAGTTCTCTTATTCACCGTGTATATCCAGTAACGCCGGAATGTGAAAATAACGCACGATTCGTGAAATAAGTCATGCAGAATTGTGCAATAACGGGCGGATACCTGACTGGATTTCCAACGCAGTATGTAAAGTGGCCAACATATTTTTTTTCACCGATCTGAAAAAAATCAATAGCCGCATACGGCTGCGAAGACATAACTCTTTATCCCTCATCAAGATTATTTCCACGAAATTGTTGACTTTTCAAGATCATTCGTGAAAATGATGGCTTGACCACCGTTTTGAGCGAGATTTTGGCTTTTAGTAGGCTCTTATAAGTACAACAATGCATATTATTGCGTATAATTTCGAGTAACATAAACTTAACTTCTTGTGATATAGACTTTTTTACGACGCGGTCCGTTGCTATGAAAAATTGACCGGAAGTAGTATTTTCTCGCGCACGCGCAATCTGCGTAGGGCAAAAAAGCATTTTCCTACAAAGAAATGTAGTAGAATATCGTAGATAATTCTGAGTTAGTTTAAGAATTAGGAAATCATATAAAATAGCTTTTTACACAAACATGAAAGATACATTTTTAGCTTTGTGGCCAAAATTGCCACAAAAAGGCACGGAAAAGACGACGATTGTTTAAGAATTTCCGTTACGATCACGGACATGACAATGAGATAATTGTTGTAAAAAAATGTCGAAATATATATATTATCAAATAAAGAAGTCAATTTAATTGTTGTTGAAATTGTTCTTATAAAAACTAAAGAAATTTTATTTATAACATTTAAAATAACATTAATTTGCAGCCGTATGTAGCTTTTCATTTTTTCAGTTCGGTTAAATAAAAATTATATTGAGCAGTTTACTTACCGCGTTGGAAATCCTATCAGGTATCCGCCATTTATTGCACATTTCTGCGTTACTTATTGCACGAATCGTGCATTATTTTCACATTCCGGCGTTACTGGATATACACCCGTTGTTATTGCATACCAAACCAAACCAACGGTAAATAATGAATGTTTTAATCAATGAATAACACTTTTTATCACAATGTAAACTTAAGCTGTTTTAAGGTTTGCTTAACTCTGGCTTACCACTCAAATATTCATGGGCGTTCATGAATTAATGCATAAAAGGGCATTGTTAAATAATGTATCGAGTATGTTGTTTTGAATGACGAACGAATGCTTAATGTAAATTTCAAGACAACAATACAATAATTTAGTAATTTGTGGTTATACTAAATGTTTCGATAGAAAACCAAACTGCAAGCCATATAACTGAGAATAAATGCACATTAAGTCACATAAATACATTTCCTTAAAATATATTTCCGTACAATGAATAAGATAACAATCTTATAGTCTATGAAAAAAATGATAAAGTTATAAAAATTAAATGTAATAACGAAAGTCAATTGAAATATAGGGAGATAAAACTTTCGATTTTGAAGAAAGAGAAGTTCCTATAATGTTTGAAATTATACATTAAAAGTAAGTAAAAGTGAAAATCGGCATGTGAGTTTTGGCAATCTTACAACCTGTTAATAACAATTAAAGTAAATTGAAAGGTTATTCTCTACAGAGAGTTATGAAGAAATTAGTGTGATGACGGGAGGTAATAAACATATTATGAGAGCGTGCGGAATTTTAGAATTTGTTGCAAGATAAATTAGACGTTTTAAGAGCAATGTACAAAAAAACCAAGTTATTTATTTTCTCTTGTTTCTTTATTTACATGTATAGTGTTTACCACAGAGGTATTTCTTTGTATTTGATGACTGTCTAACAATTGAATGTTCGTAGAGTTACATGTACTCTACGGGTGCGAGTTGAAGAAAGTAGGGATAAATATAAGAACAGAAAAAAAACGTTGTTTTTTCATTCTATTATTTCATTGTTTCTGTGTAATGCCCCTGTCTTGTGTACTAGTAAGGGAGGCAAGATTGTAAAGGTTTAAAGTACTGTCATGCGGGAGGAAACTGAAAAATCTAATAATTCATTTGAGAAAATATGGATCTTGTGTAATGTTAAATATCCTGTAACTGTTTGGTAATCTCATGAACAGAATAAAACAGATCAAAATCGTGCACTTGACATGCATTATATTCATATCAGTATGGTCGTACAAAGTATGAAGTGAAATAGGGAGATGAGTGTTGATCCTCGTGCTTGGCGAAATTTCTCCTTGACAAATATTGAATCTTTTGGCCATCGCTGATTCAAAAACATGTAGGATTAGTAGAAATCTGACTAAAGTTCAGATCTACTAATTTATTTTATGTAGATCTGATGACGACCGTATATGTTTCGCTTTCTTTATAATACATTCGGATTTCCAGAGAAAGTTGCTTTTAGCCATGCAATCAAACCGGTTTTTACATAGGCATTAGAAGAAGAATCAAAATAACGTTATCCCTGGAAGTTCAACAAATTGTTGATTTTGTTTGAAAAAACAATTGTTTGAATTATTTTTTAACAAATTAACTTGAAATAATAAAGTCCATTTTTATTTGACAGTTTACCTGTCGGTTAAATGGACAACGCCATGTTTGTTCTCGAAATCGTGAAAATTACCTACTCAGTATTGGTTTTCCCTGAAAAAATATGAAAGCTCGCCGATGATTGACTGTGTGAAAGGTCACTAGAATTGGTCACGGTCAGATCTAAAAGCAGAGCGTTATTAAGAGCTGATTTTGATCAGATTGGATTAGTAGAATGTTACTTGCTGAGAAATTGGTAAGTTCTCCAGGAAAGCCGGTGAGATTGACCAACGTGCGAAATGACCAAGAATGTGTTGAAACCGACGTAAAAATCGGACCCCCCCCCCAAAAAAAAAACAACCCAAAAAAGCAAAACAAAAACGAACAAACATACATCCACAGTATATTTATTTTAGCATGACGATCACCGGGATGCAGGGACAATAATTAGTTATTATTGCAAGATAGACTGGATTAAATGCAGTCTTTAGTTGTAAAGCAATAAGGCTCGCACTGCCTAGCACCGGATAAGAAAAGAAGAGCTAGATTTTCAGAAATTAGGATGATTCTCGTATCCGCTTATCTGTCTATCATAATTACAGTTATTAACTTATTTGATAAACTTTTGAAATATAATCAGGTTTCAACTACTTCTTTACTTAAAAAAAAGGTTATGGTATTTTAAAGAGTTTATTCTGCTACATCTAGTACATCTGATATTTTGAATGTCAATATTGCATTATTTTTTCGATATTCGATATTTCAATTGATTTGATAAAACTGTAATAATGATACAATTAATACCGACAGGTCTTTTGTGCCATAAACGCGCTTTCAGTATTTATCTTTAACCGCATTTTACGGTTTGAGAATAAACAAATAAAAAGACAAAATCTTTGGAAATGCATTGTATATATCTTACATAACCACAGGTAAATATATCGTCATTTACCAGTACCCAATTGCTACATCACTCTCTATCAACGCAAAGATTATTAACATGTGGGGTTCACGATAACTATATCAAATTCTGAACATAGAAATACATTTAATCCAAGTCTGAAAATCGCTGTCAGACATTTAGCTGTGAAAAAACACACTCTGTGTTGAGATAAAAGAGAACGTAAAAATGTGACGATGCTTTAGGAGTATACCTTATTTCTCAGCAGGATGCTATGCGGTGTACCTCGGATAATGTGAAAACATAACAAACAGCGTTCGTTTGAAATGAAATAATTGAAGAATGTAATTATTTAGAAACGTTCTATGTTGGATTCCAGTAAGAGATCGGATATTGCAATTAAAAGGGTCAATTTTAGTGCCAGAAAGAAGCTGTTTTGAGCTAGAATGTAGCTAGTTCTTTTGATAAAAGGTCACAGATGGGAAAATATTGATATATTTTTAATGATATTTATGGATATGGATTTAAAAATCAAGTAGAAGATTATTGATTGTATCAACTATCGTCTAGCTGGGAATATACTGGTTTCAAGAGAGTAAAATACTTGTTTTGGATTTAATTAATATGCAAACGTACAATTATAGATTTTTTATGAAATTTCATGGAACCAATTAATGGGTCTAAACAGAGTTTTTCCAATATCGGAACAAGCAAGAGACATTTTCTGGATAAATATATTCCACTACAAACGAACAGTGGAAGGAGGATACACTGGCTGCACATGTTTCTGTGAGAAACTTAAAATAAAAAAACGAGAGATGCTGTTACCACATGAAGCGTTTAATGTATTTTATGCGGCAAAAAAAGGGAGTGGACTTAAATCATAGCATTATAGAAAGTAATAGATATTTTAACCGGGGGAAATGCAGTATAAAAAAACTTATATGTCTGTTTTTAGAAATGTGAATGTTTCACAAGATGACTACAGAAAATAGATCGAGTGCACTAGATAATTCTACTCTGACAGTTCAATATGTTGATGAAGTTAAAACGGTGAGCAATGTAACAATTTTTACAAGCGGTCCGTATTTTGATCATGTACAAAATAAGTATTTTGGAATTCTCGTTTATCCGTTAATTATTATCTCAGTGTATGTTTTCCTTGGTTTAATTGGAAACAGTTTTGTATTATATATATTCAGTGTGAAATGGAAACGAAATAAAACGTCTGTTTTCATCATTACTCTCGCCGTGTTGGATATAATCAACTGCTCTGTCAATATGCCAATTGAGATAGCAGTACTGTCGAAGCCCATTTCATTCGATTACGAAATTTTTTGCAAGTTTGCACGATGTCTTTCTTACATAACAACTGCTTCGTATTCATTCCTTTTAGTTGCTGTAGCGTTCGACCGCTACCTCATGGTCTGCCGTCCTCTGAAGAGGATGACATTGGGCAAGCAATACGCGAAGAAAACCTGCATTGGAGCTGTAATGCTTGGTCTGCTGACACAATGGCCGTCGATAATTATTTACGGAACATTTGAACTGATGGTTCCGATTCCACAACCGAATACAACACTTACAACTACAAGTGTATTCGTTCTCGGTAAAACTTGTCTTGTAACAAATTATTACTACTACGAAAACCCTACATTGACCTACGCATTTCAAGGATTTCTTTTCGTTGGACATGTTGTGATTTTCAGTGCTTTGACAATTACGTATATAATCATAGGCAAGAGGCTGTATATTTCTTCACATACTGACATCGATTCAGTCGAAAGTAAGTCAGGACTATTTAAACGCGGACTTTTATCAGCAATTACAGGTTCAGTTTTATGTGGCAGGAGAACAAAGTCAATAAGTCAAGATAATATAAACACAAAACCAATCAGGATATCTACATTGAGTGAAGTTTCAAATGCAAACACAAGGTTCTCAACATTATCATCTGACAGTGAGGCGACGGGCATTATGCAGGGAGTACAGAACCCTGGTGTAACGGGTAACTGGAAAGGTGCAACAGAACAACTTCAAGGCAATGACTCTGAGAAATACACTGGCAAACGCAATTCTTGTACTTACTCTGTGGCAAACCGCAAAGTAGATTTAAAATTAAATGAGATTTCAACAGATTTACAAGGAAAAGATCATTCATTTAATATCACGCGCAATAGTAAAATTTCAATTAGGTCCCAGCGTCAGTTATCACAACCGAATGCGACTCGTAGGTCCTCAGACTCGCCTACAACTACAGTGGCGTATCCTTTTCTACCTAGAAGCATAAGTATGGACGGTGCTCAACTGTTCTCTACGTGCTTAGAAAAACCGAAGAAACTGGATTTAAAAGAGTTATCACTGAAAAGAAATACACTTATCATGAGGATGGTAACATTTACTTTTATATTAAGCTACCTTCCATTTCTAGTCATCGTCACTTTAAGGTATTCTAATCCCGATATACCAGGTAAATTATCAAGAATACCATTAATTGTCTACCACGTGTTTCTAAGGAGTTACTTTTTCAATAGTGTAATCAGACCGTTTATATACGCTTGCATGAACAAGGAATACCGTTTATGTGTGCTTCAGTTATTGCAAATAAGAAAATGTGTTAAGTAAACAACTGTAAGACATGTTTATCGAAAAGCAATAAAATATTGTTAAATTTATTTATAAATGAAATTGTGTATTATATTTCCTGAACATGTTCTGCAGACCCAGTGTTTCCGTTGTTCTATATTTTTTCATAAATTGTAGGATTTTTGTTTTGTTTTGATTTGGTTTTACGTCACACCGACACAATCAATTGTAGAAAATCAAATATTAAAAGAAGGCAGCTCTGAACATGCTGTGTATAAAAAAGATTATTGCCAGAAAAAATTATATAGTTACAGCAACATGCCTCGAAATTCATGCTAATATTCATTGAAATTTAATAAAAAGAGTTTAAAAGTCAAATATTGTGAATGGAGAGAAAAGAGTAATTAACACATTGCAGACGGCACTAAGAATAAACGTATATTACCGAAGTGAAGTCAAATTATGTCAAATTATGCAAAATTAGTCCTTACAGCGTTAGTCACGCAGTAACAATATGGTGATATATATACTGCAAAACAGCCATTAATCGCACATAAAATGCAAATTATTACTTGAATCTTGAGTATTTTGCTTCGTTAAATCTTAAGTTTGATTTTCTCAAGTTTGATTTTCATGAATTTTTCTGATTCATCTGGCTGCATGCAGCTGTAAAGACGGCATATTAATATTGCATGACTTGAAATAACCGAGGTTGATTGTCAGTCATTCACATTTATAGTATTATTGCTGAGAGTTGAGTCTGGTAAAAATAGCTGGTGTAACGCAAAACCAGCAGCATATGTTTCGAAAAGAAAATTTAAAAAGAGATCGATGTTTAACGAGCCTACAAAAGTAAAGAAAATTCAAAATTAAATATATTTTAATTAAAAAAGCGGTAAAATCTAGCATGAAGATGAATAATTCATGGGGCATTTGAAACATTTTACTTATTCTACTTTTGTTAGATGATAATTAATTTTACAGCAGTCCATTATGCTAGGAATTTGTAGAGTTTAGATTCTAGGGCTGTTCAAATCAAAAAGGTGAATGGGTACTAAACCTAAAATACATTATATTACATAGCCAAAAAAAATAATCTTTTGCTTAATCCCGATTTATTTATTTTCATACGACGACATTTCTAAATATCAGTCTTTATCAAATCGAATTCTAACATTGGTAAAGTTTTAAAATAGGTAAAGAAAGAAATTGTGTCTGAAAACAGAAAACAACATTTGCCTTAGCTGTGCCTGACCAACGTTGAGGATGATTTGTTGTAAAATAAACCATGTTTTGTTAGATTGATACTCATATCAGCAAATAATTACGTCGAAATTTTGCCTTTTACACCAATTGCCGCGTTCAAAATTAACAAAATCAAATATTGGATAAACTGCCGTCAACCTGCCCGAATCGGTACTCGGTAAAAGATTTATCCGTTAAGTAAAAGACACTATCGAAGTTTAACAAGTAAAACGTGTATCAGTAAATGTTAAGGAGGATGACAATAAGCTGCAGCATACTTCCAAAACATCACATGTGACATTAATGAAAAACAAAATCATTAATGAAATGACCTTAATCTAGATAATGCTGGTCTAAACCTGGAACATTCCATTTTGTTTAATGAGATGAATGGATCGCATCGGAATTGTTTTTATACCTGCATACTACATTCTTGTTCTGCACCATGTACATCTTCATTTCATGGGTTTCTTTGATGTTTTAAATGCTTGGTGTATATTTTGCCTCGAGGCAATTCTGAAAGAGAATGTCAAATTAAGTCGAGACAGGTTCGAGAGGTATTCCTAGCAAAACGCGCTTACACAATACAAGTATGATTCTGTTAGCTACCTGTACAAAAATAGGTTTTCCGAGCTAATTCCCCTGGTACAACATGTACAAGAATCTTTTACCGTTATAACTTCACAATGCACTACCCGTACACAGTATTTAAGTCAACATGTACATGGGGCTCTTATTTTCGTATGCCTGTTTGTACCACATGATTAGCTGACAAAAATTCTTAATTCAAGATTCAAGATTCAAATTACTTTATTTGTGTTCTAAGACATCCGGCCCAAAATGCATAGTATACATACGTCAAATTTGTAATATGGTGGTGTTAACAAGGAACAAAGGATATTTGTTTATTTTATTAATTAAAACATATACATAAAACATAAGCCTCCCTAATGTTGCTGTATCACATCTTCTTATTAATTCATAAAAATCATCTAGTTCTTTTCCGCCAAAATACCAAATGAATAAATAATTATATATGATTGTATTTTTTACGTATAAAGTATGCATGGAACTCACCCTCGATGTTATCATGACAAGTTGTACACAAACGTTCGTCTCTTGGGAAATGATTGTATCTGCCAATTTCTATACCTAATTTATGGTTGGAGCAACGAAAATTACAAAACGCCTTTTTTATGTTTAAAGGTATTTCTATAAGTTCAACATTTAAAAGTGATTTAAATTGATCATAGTGAAAATATCGACTAGAATTTATTATATTTTCATGTCATTGTTGAGTGAGACAATCAATAAGTCTTTGTTAAAAAGTTAAACGGATTCTGAAGATATTGAATTAACCAATTTTCTGAGATATCCAGACAAAACCAAAATCATACGTATATCGAGCTGCATTCAGTGTAAAGACGCCGAATTATTAATTTTTTGTTACTTATCTTATGACTGGCAATACTTCAGGAAATGTTAGATCTGTGATTTGTCTATTTCTTAAAATATATTCGCTTTAATTTAGCAGCCTAATGATGAGGGTGTCATGTATACCGTTGCTATTGTTTAATTTGTTATATGAATATGAGAACAATAAAATATACAATAGATTAATAGGTTTAAAAATGGAATCTGAAGCTGTACTAAATGTTTGTTTGAACCGTTATCAATGCCAGTAGTTCTGTATATGTTATAAGGACTTCAGGATATAGCTTATACGGCTGAGTAAATATCTTTTATCTATTCAATACGTACTTTTCAAATTTTGAGCATGATTGAATAAATAAAATTATATAGGATTTCAAAAACAATCATTTTACATAGGGAGGTGATATCCCCTTTAAAATGGTATATTAGTATATAGAAAAGTGGACACCCTATAAGTATATTGTACATGACTCATGCAGTTTGTATCAGACTTCCAACATTAAAAAATAAAACGCAAATAAAAGCCATATAGGTCTAATTCAGTTTTTATGTTTTTGAAGAACATTACGAATTTAGCATTTAAAGACAAGGCCAAATAATTGAAAACGTGAACAAGCTAAAGAAAGGTCAATTTATGTTGTATTAAACGGCATGTTTGATAAGCCATATGAAATCTGTTCATAAATTATATAATAAAACGGGTATGTACTTTTCAGCTGGTGTGTATGATGTGATATGTACTGAAAAAAAAATGATATTGACAGAGGCGTAATATTTGTTTAGTACATATCACATTATATTCGCCCGCAAAAAACCCAAACTTATTTGTATAATATTTATTTATAATATTGGAACACATTTGATATAGGACGATGTGCTGCTATTTAGATTTTATGGTAAATATTTTCGTTTTACTTGAAATTAATTGAATCATATCAAATGAATTCTTACATAATCTTATGTTTCCTTTGATGTTACATCGTTATTGTAATTATTGCACTCACCGTATGCAGGTTAATTATTTGAGTTGTTTTGACTGCGTAAAGTGAAGCTATAAGATATACTTTGATAGAAATATTTTGAGCCATTAGAATTCTGTCAGGTCAATTAGTTCAAATGTTTTGGGAGGAAAACTAGTGCACATATTTTTTAGGACACTTTATACCTCATCAAATAAAGATAACAAATGTACTCGGTACCGGCTTGTAGAATCTTAGAATGCTAAGAAAGTATCCTTAACAGTAACAGTATCAGGGAGGCCATACAAATTAAATTTGTCATGTACATTCAAACAATTAAGGCTTAGTAGCTAAGAACTGTGTCGAAAAAGAAGACGATTGTATGACTGAAATTATGTACAAATGATATACCATGTACCATTACAGTAAATAATTTTGTGTGTAATATTTGCCTTACATCTTCTGCTCAAGGACATGTAATGTTGAGTGTGCAGTCCCAATCGTATAAATGTACTATTCTATTATTCGTAGCAGATCATCCATTAAAATAAGCTAGCATTGAACGTTTTGTTTCTTTAAAGTCATGATTATCGGACATAATATCTGCTATGTTCAGGTGATTAATTTCTATGCGGGAGATTACGTTACCTTACTTGAAACCTCTAGAAATGCTCGTGGATTTATAATGAAAACTTGTTATACTGTCTACGATTTAATTATTACTAAATGCTGAGTCTGCAGTTGATTGTTGTTTAAAGATTAATTGCTACATTTTGTCATATGAAACTAGTTGCCTAATATGAAACGCTTTGCGTAAGGTCAATGCGACATCGATTCAATCTAAAGACCGCCTGTAAAAATCCTGAATCGATCTGTTTTAACAGAAATGATACATAATGTACGTAGTTTTTTGACAAAACATATTGATGGTATTCATTTGTAATTTGTTTATTTTCAGAACTCGTGTATATATTAATGATAGCAGCATTAAAAATTTCATCTGCACAATTTTACTTTATTTGGAATATAAATTATATTGTATCGATGTTTAGTTTAACTTTTTATCTATTAGTCTTTATTACAATAAATATATTTTATATTGTTAAAGATTCAATATATTTTTTGTTAATCAACCAACAATATAAAACAAATTGCGCTTAAAGCTGCACGCCTCCAGATGAGCCAAAATATTTCAAGAAATTCAATCTTAAGAAAAATGTATTACGATCTTAAGAAAAGAAAAAAGATTCAATATTTATTAAATTATTAACATCTTATGTGCGATTAATGACTGATTTTGCAGTATCAATCACTATAATTCTACTGCGTTACTAACGCAGTAAGAGGTATTTATGTATATTTGACCACTTTTTTTGGTAATTTACGTGGGTTGTAAGTGCCGTTTGCCATGTGTAAATTACTTTCTTTGTTCACTTTACAATATTTTTTCT